TGACAGGTGAGAAAAATCTAGGGGATTGTCAGCTCTCAAATGAGCTGCTGGCTTCCAGAAAGAATATAGGATTGGATCGTTTTTTAAAAGGCTGTATCAGCAGCATAATGTGTTGGAAGTTTGGAATCTTAGCAGAATTTAACCAGTAAAATTCTAAACCCCTCATCTGCATGCCCCACAGATTCAACCAATGGTGGATCAAAAATAGTTTTAAAAAATGCATCTTTTTTTCTTGTCACTATACCCTAAACAATACAGTGTAACACATATTTTCATAGCATTTGAATTATATTAGGTACTTTTTTAGGTATTGTAAGTAATCTAAAGATGATTCCTAGAACACAGGAGGGTGTGCTTATCTATATGTAAAAAATGCATCTTATACAGAGACTTGAGCTTCTGCAGATATTGGGATCCAAATGGGTTTCCAGAACCAGTCCTTGCAGATGTTCACACATTACCGCAGTGCTTGTAGTCAGAATAGATTTGATATTTAATAGTACCTGATGCTGTAAGACAATGCCAGAGGAGAGAACTAGGGTAACACAGGAATGCCCATAGAAAATGTCCCCTGCTCTTAGACTTAGAAACTAACTGCTCTCCATGTTCCAAGAGCATGTCCCTGTGAACTGAATGCTACAATGAAGCTTAGAATTGCTGCTTTGCATATCTCCTGAACTTGATACACTTGCAAATGATTATTCAGCCTACTTCCAGGAGACTAGCAGGTGGCAAGACCCTAGTTGCATGACTTTCGCTGAAAAAAAGCAATCAGGTCATGTGGGAGCCTGGATGCTTTAATTATCTGCCTGCTGGATGCTTTAATATTAATTGAAGGTGGATTTTTTTTTCATTATAAGACGCCATGAACTAAATGAAAGGGAAGGTCGGTCAGCTGAGCTTCCTCCCACCTGAAAGCTGCAGTCGTATCTATACAGGCACTTTCCTAATTCTAAAACCATCCTACAGTAATAAGAGTAATTTAGGCATGAAGAAGGAACCAGCGCTGAGTGGGGAGAACAAAGAATTAAGAAACTACTAAAAGCGTTTCAAGAATTTAGTTCAGAGGCAAAGCAGGGAATTTAGTGCCTTGTTATCCTGGTTCTGAATAGGATTTGAAACCTCAAATATGGACCCTGTTTCTTCTTGGAGGCAGATTGGTTTACTCAAAGGGCAGTTAGGAAGCAGAATTCAAAGTAAAAAGAAAAAAAAATGTCTTCAGGCAGCTTTCTTGGCTCTGTTTCATCATTTCACTTAAAAACTTAAAGACAGGAGGAAAAAACCCTTAAAGATGAGAGAATCTCAAGTGAAGGAGTGAATCGTGTGGGCTGGAGTTACAGAGAGGGAAATCAGAAGTGTGGGTGCATCTGGAGTTCAGGGCTCATAACAAGCTCAGTCAATTCATCAGCAGGAGGGGTGGGCATGGGGGCAAGCAAAAGCCTAGAGGATATCACACAGTGGTCAGTTCCCTCAGAGGACCATATTGGAGTGGCTGGAGGCCTTCATCCTTCGAGCACATTCAAGAGAATACTAGGAGACGTTATAATCCAAGCATTGGGACTATCAGCCAGCTGTGAACCAGCCTGCTGGCTATCCTGGGCACCCTTACAGTCTGCCCATCCTACTTCCTCAACTCATATGTCTCTGTCTTCACAAGAGACTCTTTAAGTCCCATAGATCTTTTTACATCATGACTAATTAAGCCTCCAAATAACACAGTAGCCTCCCTAATTCACAGAGAATGTCGTAATGCCCTCTGTAGATGCCTGAAATTACAGATCACACCAAACCCTATATATAAAATTGTGTTTTCATATACATCCTAATGATATGGCTTAATTTATAAATTAGGCACAGTGAGAGATTAAAAACAGCAACTAATAAGATGGGACAATTATAGAGTATACTGTCATGAAAGTTACGTGACTGTAGTTCTCTCTCTCTCTCTCTCTCTCTGTCTCTTTCTCTCTCTCCCTCCCTCTCCCTCTCTCTCATTCTCACTCTCTCTTTCATAGTATATTTGTGTGCTGTGGTCTCCCTTCTTCTGATGATATGAGATGATATTTAAAAGGAGGTTCCTCAGGCCTGCTTTGTGGCACAGCAGGTTAAACCACCTCCTGTGATGCCAGCAGCCCACATGGGCTCTGGTTGGGATCCCAGCTGCACCACCTAGGATTCAGCTTCCACTTGATGGCTCAGAAAAGCAACAGAAGGCAATCTAAGTGCCTGAGCCACCACCATCATCATGGAGGTTCTGGATAAAGCTTCTGATTCCTTGCTTCAGAGTGGCCCAGCACTGGCTGTTCTAGCCATCTGGGGAGTGAATCAGCAGGTAGAATATTCTCTTTCTCTCTTTGTCCCCTCCCCCCATAACTCTGATTTTCAAATAAATAAATAAAATCTTTTTCCAAAAAAGGAAGCTCTTCATGGCTGATCCTGGATACACCTCAGTTGTCAGCATCACTACTCCTGGATATTGGGATCTGTTTTACATAAAATAGAGGTTCCCTGAACCCAAGTTCTATAGATACCATGACAGTTGATCTGCTAACCAACAAGGCTACTAAGTGACTATTGGACAGGCAGCACGTGCAACCCTGATATGCTGGACAAATAGACAAGGCATGTCCACGGTGGGATGGAGCAGGGTGTGCGATTTTATCACACTACTCGTAATATACTGCAGTTTAAAACCTGTGAATTGTTTCTGGACTTTTCCATTTATCATTTCAGACCATGACAATGGATAACAGAAACCACAAAATGTGAAATCATAGATAAGGGAATATGATTGTATTTCGGTTACATAATATTTGTTGTGTGCACCTTAAAGGGTTTGAATTTCACATGCATGTAATTTCTTTTTTTTTTTTTGACAGGCAAAGTGGACAGTGAGAGAGAGATACAGAGAGAAAGGTCTTCCTTTGCTGTTGGTTCACCCTCCAATGGCCGCCGTGGCAGGAGCCAGGTACTTCTCCTGGTCTCCCATGGGGTGCAGGGCCCAAGTACTTGGGCCATCCTCCACTGCACACCCTGGCCACAGCAGAGAGCTGGCCTGGAAGAGGGGCAACCAGGACAGAATCCGGTGCCCTGACCGGGACTAGAACCCGGTGTGCCGGTGCCACAAGGTGGAGGATTAGCCTAGTGAGCCGCGGCGCCGGCCACATGCATGTAATTTCTAATTCAAATAGCACCTTGCTCACAGCCACAACATTTAACGAAGCCCTGTGTGGGAAGCTGTTCAGCTGCTTTGTCTCTTGCCGGCTGAAATGTGAAGACTGTCTTCCTAAGGACTGGCTTGGAGCTGGCAGGGAAATGCCCCCTTTACTGGAGTCCATTATGTCCTACGGGGGACTCTGTAGTGACCACTGTCACACCAACATCTCTGGAGAGATTGGCAAGCTGGGTGAACAAAGGAGCAAGAACAGACACCCTGAGAGGAAATGTTTGAAATTAGTGGCGTTTCTAAGTACTATGTTTCATAGTGTTTTACAATCATCTGGTAAAATACCACAAATTGAATTGGCTAAGGTAAGGTAAGGGCCACTTGCACATATGAAATAATTTCTTTGTATTTCTTTCACACTTTAGAACACAGGGCATCCGTTAGTTATAGATTTTAGCTGCCCTTATGGCTGTCCAAGTTCTTTTTTCTTTAATTATTTGAGAACTGAGATTAAGTTGAGTTTGGCTCTTAAACATATTTTCCTGTGCTCTTATTTGAAGAAGATGAAGAAGAGAACTGGGAAGCCAGAAAAATTCCTAGCGATCTCTTCGTAGAGAATAATTTTATCCTGTTATTTCCACACCTCTGTATCCTATGAAAAATTAAAAATAAACTTCTGTCAATAAGTTTGTGTTCTGGAACATATCTAAAAATATTCATGCATGAAATGGTGTAGTTAAATCCACTTTCCTGAAGAGGAAAAGTCATTTATCCAGTCTCTTAGCATTTTTCAAACCTGCAGCTCTGATCATATTTTGCCTTGGTCCTTTAGAGAGTACGTGTGTTAACCTGGTGAGAACCAGCAATTGTACTGCTTGACCACTATGTAACACTATTAAGACAAATGACATGATATCAGGATTTCCACCATTAAAAATTAAATTTAAACATGTTTGAGAGAAGGGAGAAAATACTTCCAGTATGTATAAAACCCAGAATGGGAGCACAATCCCGATATGGACCTTCGGAGCTTCCAATTAACAATAGCAAGAAGTGAACCACTTACTCAGGTAGCAGCAAGGTCTACTCTACGGGCCTCGGGCCAAGTATTTCCTGGAATCACAACAGCTAGTATCTAACATCTTTATTAAGATGGTGTATTAGCGTTCTCTAGAGAAACAGAGCCAGATATACATAACAAGAGTCTATTGGGGTCAGAGTTGAGGCACGGTAGATCAAACTGCCTCTTGTGAAACCAGCATCCTGTGTTGGAATAGTGGTACAAGTCCTGGCCGCTCTGCTTCTAACCCAGCTCACTGCTAACATGCCTGGGAAAGCAGCAGCAGATGGTCCAATTATGTCAGCCCCTGCCATTACGTTTGCTGACAAAGTTGGAGTTCTTGCATTCTAGCTTCAGTCTGGCTCAGCTCCAGCCTTTGCAGGCATTTAGGAAGTGAACCAGTGGATGGAAAATCTCCCCGTCTCTCCTTTTCTCTGTCATTCCACCTTTCAGATAAATAAAATAAATCTTAAAGCAAATAATAACTAAATAGAACAGTAGTTAAAATTACAGTAGTGCAAGTAATGTAATTACACGTTACATAAAGGAATTGACTGATGGATATCAGAATCAATGGATGAAAACATCCAAAATGTCAAAGGAAAATTACTTTTCCTAGATAATGTTACAGCTAAACTTTTCTAAAACATGAAAAAAAAATAAATTCACCTCCAATCTACTCTTTCTTAGGAAATTAATTAAAAATGTGCTTTCATAGAAAGAAGGGCCAAACCAAAGAGAGAAAGACATGGGATGCCAGCTGGGTCCACTCACTGGGGTAATTGATGAGGCCTTGGAGGAAAGCAGGTGTGCTGCGGCTCTATGGGAGGTAGGTCACAGGTGAGTCAAAGGAGAAGCGTTCAGGATGGGCCCTCGCTCTTGGAATGGCTGGTCTGTGAGAAGCGAGACTATGGTGAAAGAGATTGAAAAATGGGTACAGAGATCACTACGCAAGTCACAAAAAAGCAGCTATTCACTATAAACAGAAAGAACACACTTCATTAAAACTTTCTTAATGGGGCCAGTGCCATGGCACAGTAGGTTTATCCTCCACCTGCGGCGCCGGCATCCCATATGGGCCCCGGGTTCTAGTCTCGGTTGCTCCTCTTCCAGTCCAGTTCTCTGCTGTGGCCCCAGGAAGGCAATGGAGGATGGCCCAAGTGCTTGGGTGCCTGTACCCACATGGGAGACCAGAAGGAAACACCTGGCTCCTGGCTTCGGATCAGCATAGCTCCAGCAGTAGTGGCCATTTGGGTGGTGAACCAACGGAAGGAAGACTTTTCTCTCTGTCTCTCTCTCACTGTCTAACTCTACCTGTCATAATCTGGAAGGATTTTTTCCAGGTGTCAAGCTTAAGTACTCAAAAGTTACATGACTCCTAGTTAGTTATCTACAGTGCCTAACAGCATACACAGAATGGAGCTAGTATTAGAATAATACACATTCATCTGCTAGAAAGTGAGTTAACTCGAACACTAATGCAATTATTATGAATGGCACTATCAAGAGCAATTAGCATGGATTTAGTTCTGACTATATGTCAGCCAAGGTCTACAAAGTATTTGATGTGCTATTCCATCTAATAACCTGACAACAATATGTTACAGGTGTTATCCTCTTCACAGATAACAAACAGGGATAAAGAAATATTTAATTACTAGCCTGAAGGCACCCTGCAGTCTTTCTTTAGAAAATGATAATATCTAAAAGTAGTTCCAGAAATATCAGTGTATGATTGATAAATATGAGTATCAGTATCAGATGAAACAAGTAGGAAAGTTAAATTTCTCACTTGAGGAGTGAGTTGGGGAGTGAGGAGTGATAGGGAATAAAACTTTTAATTTTAATTATAAACATTTTGGGCCTATTCACTATTTTAATTATGTTTCATGAAAGATTTGTAATTTTTTATTTGTTTAATCTGGAAACATTTTATTTAAGGTATATAAACTTCATGCATTTCATATATCTATGTGTGTGTATATATATATATATATAAAGGAACATGATAAGTCTTCTCACCCTACCCTCCCTTCTGCCCACACCATACTCTTCTTCCTCTTCCCTCTCCTATTCCCATTTCTATTTTCACAAAGATCTATTTTCGGTTAACTTTATATTCATAAGATGAACCCTACACTTAGTAAAAGATAAAAAAAAATAGCAAATGGCGTAAGTCAGGTCCAAACAAACCTTTGCCACTTTGTTTTCCAAATGGCATTGAAGCTCCAGTGACTGGTAGGCAAATGCTGTGGTACCTGAGTGGCAGAAGAATGTGCCGGTGAACTGCCATCATTCCCAAGGACCAATTCTCTTCTGCATTCAGATTGTACCTGGTCATTCTAAATGCTTTTCACCAATAGAGTACTATGAGAGTATTGTTATGCAACCATACAACACAACATAACTGAAATGGGGATGTGAAAGGGAGCACGGAGGGTCTTCAAACATTTTGCAATCTGAGATATAGCAGGAAAGAACAGTGTTTTTCAGTTGGTCAAATATCCTTCCCTCCATTTATATATTATGGTCCCCATTTCTTTGCTCATTTGTCTAGTAGAATTTATGATCAAATATTGGCAAATATTATTTTTTTCCTATTAGTTCCTCTTGTTGTTGGGGGGGTGTTAAGCACATATGAACTGAATTGGGGGAAAAACCACTACCAATACCCCAAACCCTTATCTAATGCTTGGTTTGTCTCTGTGTGATGGAAAGAGGATGTCAATGACAGAATCAATTTAACTCCTGAAAGCAGGTATATATATATATATATATATATATATATATATATATATATATATATATATTGCAGCCCTAATCCAATAGTTAAGTTATTCCAATGTAGATGCATCAGTTCTAGAGAACGCACTGGGAGGAACTGAGTTCATTCTCTATCATAGCACTCAGCATGTCTCACATTCTAATGCAGGACTAAGACAATGATGTCTTGAACCATTGTTCATTTTTTCTCAGTTCTCTAAACCTGCTTCAAAGTGTTTTTCTTAGTGAAGTATCCTCACTCACTACCTCTAGCAAACACATAACTGAAGACATACAGATATGGAATGTATGTAGGAAGACAGAAATCAAGATAAACATCATTGAGGTTATCCTTTTTGATAAAAGTTACCAGCTCCAATTCTGAAAAGATGTGGTAAGATTGAGTGAAAATTAAGATGGTTTAAGATGTGACTCTCGGCCAGCACCATGGCTCAACAGGCTAATCCTCCACCTAGCGGCGCCAGCACACTGGGTTCTAGTCCCCGTTGGGGCACCGGATTCTGTCCCAGTTGCCCCTCTTCCAGGCCAGCTCTCTGCTGTGGCCAGGGAGTGCAGTGGAGGATGGCCCAAGTCCTTGGGCCCTGCACCCCATGGGAGACCAGGAGAAGCACCTGGCTCCTGCCTTCAGATCAGCGCAGTGCGCCGGCAGTGGCTGCCATTGGAGGGTGAACCAACAGCAAAGGAAGACCTTTCTCTGTCGCTCCTCCATTCGTGGAGGAACGACACAGGACCCTGCGCTGTTCTTTTGTCTGCTCGGCCCTCCCCGTGTTTGCTGCTGGTTCTTCCCGGGTTGGCTGCCGTCACTCCACCTCCGTGGAGGGGCGGGCCACCCTGCCACTTTCCCCACTTCCGCGGGTAGCGGCACACCGCCGGCCGGCTCTCTCGGGGGCTGTTCAGGTGTTCCCCTTAGATGTTCCTGGCACATGTTGTCTCTCTCCTCCTTTATAGTCCTCTTCCACCAATCCCAACTCTGCTACCCACACACCGAGTACGCTGCTCTCCTCCAATCAGGAGCAGGATCAGCTCCTGCAGGTTATTGGTCGAACTGGAGGCAGCTGTGTAAAAGTTGTTTATTCCTCTCCCAGCGCCATATTGTGGGAGAGCAGATGCATAGAATAAGTCTTAATGCCAGTAACTTAGTCTAGTCCGAGTTGCTCCCCACATTTCTCTCTGTCTCTCTCTCTCCCTGTCCACTCTGTCTGAAAAAAAAATTAAAAAAAAAAAAAAAAGATGAGACTCTTCCAGGAAAGGATATGGAGTTAGGGTTATTAAACAGCCTCAACTAGCCCCAACAATTCATGTTTAACATACTCATGTACACAATGAACAAGACAGACCACCTGACATTGAAACTACAGCAAACTAGACATCTAGCACAGAGGAAGCTGTGAGAGAGATCCTAATGGCTGGCATCAAAGAAGTTTGTGAGTAAATTGTGCGATGTACACTTAGTTATCCCCAATACTCTACCTAGGGGCTGACATCAGAGATATTACCCAATGTCTAGCTGAAGTCAAGACATCTGTGTTGGCCGGCGCTGTGGCTCACTTGGCTGATCCTCCACCTGCGGTGCCAACACTCCGGTTCTAGTCCCAGTTGGGGCACCAGGTACTAGTCCCAGCTGCTCCTCTTCCAATCCAGCTCTCTGCTGTAGCCTAGGAGGGTGGTGGAGGATGGCTCAAGTGCTTGGGTCCCTGCAAGGAGGTACCTGTGAACCAACGGAAGGAAGACCTTTCTCTCTGTCTCTCTCTCTCTCTCACACTGTCTATAACTCTACCTATCAAAAAAAAAAAAAAGACATCTGTGTCTATTACACTTTCTTGTGCCAACAATTGAGAAATTTAACCACACACAAAATCAAGATTTCTTTCCTTACTTGTTCTTAATGAATAAATATTTGATTCTAATGATCCCTGTGTTCGCACATAGATTTTTGCAAACAAGTCAGATTTCCCAAATTTTTCACGAAACTCAGTGGTCTTTCATGTCTAAAATATTTCAGAGTCTAAAAGACATTTAATTAGCTCAAACTTGATGGTGGCTTTTGCCCTGTGTTCCTTATTTTTTCTAAATCCTGGCAGATAACCATAGTTAATATTTCTAAGATAATTTATAAATGTCAAGTGAATTCTGGGCCTTTTAACATCATAAAAATTAATGTTGTTGGAATCTTGAATCAGTATTTGTTCATATACAAAGACTGCTGAGTGACAGGATCAAACCTTTGGAGCAATGATTGGCATTGCTATTTAAAAATATGGAGCTCAACCCCTTAGCTTGGTCTTCAAATGTCATCATTTTATCCTGGGAGTCAATGCTGCTGTGTGTTCCTCTCATTACCTACAGGTGTGCCACAGGGAAAATAATACCTTTAGCCAATACTTGCAGTATTAATATGCTGGAGAAATATACTAAGGTACAAAATTTTAGCTGTTTCCAAATAGGCATTCTGTTGGCTTCCTTTGTACAAAGAGAAAGGAAATTTTGATATTACAGCTTCTGAATAGCTTTGAGGTACAATGAATATATTTTTGCCCAATGAATTCCAAGTGCACTTAAATGAGTTCTCTTAGAAATAACAATTTTGTAAACTTCCATTAAATCTTTCAGGCTACTTAGCAACTGACAGTATATGAAGAAAAACAAAAACAAAAAGATTTCCACACCAGAGATAAGTATGGAATCTTCTGTCTTATAGGTTTGTTATCTATGCCAGTTATTTTTTTTAAAGCTTTAGGGAATTAAGTTTTAAAAAGTTAATTATTTGAGGGACTGTGGCATAGAGGGTAAAGCCACTGCCTGCAGTGCCAGCATCCCATATGGGTGCCAGTTCAAGTCCTGGCTGTTCCACTTCCGATCCAGCTCTCTGCTATGTCCTGGGAAAGCAGTAGAAGATGGCCCAAGTCCTTGGGCCCCTGCACCCATGAGGGAACTCCAATAAAATCCCCTGGCTCCTGGCTTCGGATCAGCCCAGCTCTGGCCGTTGCAGCCGATTAGTGAGTGAACCAATGGATGGAAGACTTCTCTCTCTCTCTCCCTCTCTCTCTGACTCTCCTTCTCGGTCTGTGTAACTCTGACTTTCAAATAAAAAAAAAAATCTTTAAAAAAAAACTTTCACAAGTAG